TTCTCGGGGCTCTTTCGCCCCCGGTGCGGCGCGACCCTCTGCCCCTGCCCAAAATGGCGCTGCCCTACGGGAAGGCCGGGGCCTCCGCGTCCCCCGCCCCTGCCCGGAGCTAAAGTCGTTTGAGGGGCTAGGCGCATCCCCGAGGCGCTCCGCGATTTTCTCCTGCTTGCCCCACTTCAGTTTCCACGAGAATTTTCGGCTTGGTAGCACCTTGTGGGACAGGCAGGGCCAGCGCCGGGGACCGGCGTGAACAAAGCGGCCGCAGGCGCACGGAGAGCAAGTGCCTGTGGGGTCCCTGTCGGAGGCAGCGGTTGGCAGGGCGGGGCCCAGTGCCGGGGGAGCTGGCTGGGCGGCTGCCTCGGCCCCTCTGGCTTTCTCATTAGCTCGGGGTGCAGAACAGATCCTATTAACGAGGGCAATGAAAACCCTAAAAGCTACTGTCAGTTGTAGTGGCGGTATCTATCTCAGAAACTGCTTCCCCCATTGCCTTGGTGTTCCCGAGTCTTGGGCGTCCTCCGGGTTCTGCACCAGATGCTGATTCTCTTCGCTGCTCATAATCTCAAATATTGAGAGTTGCTCTCCCAGGGTGTTCTCACGGTAGCGAAAATCCCCCTCTTGTCTCACACTTACCTGTTAAGAAGCATCTTTCCTTTTGGAAATGTGATTGTTTCACTGTATGGAGCTGATCTCTCGTTTGAAGCAAATTATTTTTCTCAAGAAAATGCCTTAAAATTAAGGGGAGTAACAAAATATTTGCAGCGTTGTATATGGAGGACATTACTTGTAATGTGGATGGGCAGTTTATCCATAGTGGTAGAAAATCCTAATACCCCCTGCAGAGAAGGTGTGGGCAGTCTCAGCAGCCTTTAGGTCCTGCTAGAGTATTGCCATTTCCTACCACTGATTATCTCGGTTTTAGCCCTGGGCAGTGCCCAGCCTCACCTGCTTGCTGCATCAGTCGGCAGCGCTTCAGAGACGAATCCTTTTGCAACTTCACCTGATGACTTTTATTGGAAGTGCCTGTTGGAAGCCCTTCTTTGAAGCATTGTGCTCCCTTCCCGCTGGCTTTGCCGTGGATCAAAATTAATCGGATTGTTAATTTTTCACAATAAAAATGCCTCAATTTTAAGTTTAAACCATTTTATTTTAGCAGGATCACCAGTGGATGCTTTAATTCTGAAATGTCTAATAAACTTATGTAAGAACATCCACACAAGTATTTTTCATTGGCTTAATGAAATTGTTTAAAAAATAATTTAGCCTAAATTCAGCTTCCTTATAGAGACAGGCAGGTTTTTACCTGCAAACAGTATCTCCTTGTCCAGATTGAGACTTCTGCACATAATCATTATGCTGTTCTGAATGTATGACAGTGTTTTAGCAGTTATTACTGAGCTTGGCTTAGACCTACATTTTCTATTCAGTGAGCCAGATGATTCCTTCTGTTCAGATCTGTAATTATTTCCTTTATTCTTCTCTTTAATTATGTTCCTGGAACACTCCTGTAATGCACTGCAGGGTATATTTTACACATGTGTATAGATCAGAATGTATGTTATTCTTCAGTTTGCTCCATAAATCTTTTAGGTGCATTTCTGCTCAAAAGTGCAATTCTGAAGATCTTAGGGGCTCAGTAATGTTTCAGGAGAGTTAGACCTCAATTAGCATCCCTAATTAAATGACTTATGTCGAGCTACCAGTGTAGTTGCCTTGTTACATGTCATGGCTGGACTGTGTCTGGAAAACTTGTTTTCAAAAGAAGAGTTGTGTTATTTAACATTATAAACATTTCTGAGGGAGAGGAGTATGATTTCTGCCATCAGCAGCTGTGTCATGTGCTAAATGACTATTTTAATATGCAAGCCTGTGTACCTGCTCAGACTCCCACAGTTGCACTCACCATTGGTATAAGCATCTACTCCGGTGGAGTTACACCCACTCGTGCCAGCAGTGAATTTGGCCCACAGGCCCTATTCCAGTGCCATCAAAACACTGACACCGAAGCCAAGGTTTTATGGATTACATTTTTTAAAAGTATTGCTCTAGTTGTTTGTTTTTTTTTTTCCCCACGGTGTTGCAGTTTGCTCTGGAGCCTAAATTACTTGATTAGTAGTCTAATTTGAATTTTCATCTAAATCAAACTGAACATGCTATTCTGCAGCATAGTTTTTACATTTGATTATCTGCAAATTGCTTGTGATTCCCTCAGCACAGACAATGAAATGGAGAAAAATTACACATTTGTATTTGATACATGCTTAAAATTAACTTTTCTGCCCCCCACCCAGGTAGAAACTGTAGCTTTTTGCAGGAAATGGATGTCATCCAGAAACAGGATGAAAACTGTTATTGCTATGTGCAAAACAGAACCATTCACTTGCAGTACCTTTGGTCAACTCTTCAGGTAAGAGGCCGTTTTGGGAATCATTCAGATGTGCAGTACATTTCACGTGAACTTTTGCCAGAGAAGTGTATGCTCAGTTAGCAAGATCAAAGCAGTATCTATGTTTAATTAGTAGTTTGAACCGTGTATAGGTAGGACCATGATAAAAATGTGGCATTGTGATCCTCTGCTTTGGGTGCAGTGAGGTTTAGTCTCTGTTAGAAAGATGTCAACCAGGCTTATAGTATGATGTCACCCAAACATTAATTTAGTGTTGCGTATTATTTTGTCGCAGACCTTTTCTGCTGATGGGCCACTGTTAACCTCTGCAAAAATTGTTTTTGCTTATCATCAAATGCCTTTATTAAAACTTTTGAGTATAAAATGGGGTTCTGTGACTCACTTGCTGTAGCATACCAAGCCACAAGTATATGAAGTATTAGATCGTGACTAATGGAAAAGCAGCAGTAACAGAGGGTCATCTTACAAGAAACATGCTGAGGGATCAGCACAAAACAATATAAAAATCTCTTAACGCTGGAAGCAATAATAGCTAAAGGCACAAGCTGACTATCAGTGTTTTTTTTTTTTTTTTTTTTTTTTTTTTTTTTTTTTTTTCTCCCCTGAGAACTATGTCTCCAGACAAGGGAAGGGAACTTCATCTCTGTTGGAGGAATTTGCTTTTAGATACAAGAAGTGGAACATCCCTTTGTTCCAAGGACTGTTTTCCTCAGGAACATGCTGCAGATGTGTCTACGAATGGTTGCAGACTTTAGGTGGTGAAACCCTCCAACAGTCACACAAACTTTCTTGGAGTAAATCTTTAAATAGAGGAAGTTCAGGGTTTTTTTTTTTCCCCTAACTAATTGCTGGCTGACATGTTGTCTCTTCTCCCAATAGAAGCCTGTTTTATTACCTCTTGCATCACTTTTTTGTAGATGAGTATTTGTTGTCTAATAGGCTCTGATCAAGAGCTCACAATGAATCAGAATCTTCAGGAAGATCATCCCATCTCAGAAGATCAACAAGATCTTTTACCAGTTTGGTGGGGGAGGGTGCTGGGAACTGGTAAGAAACCCCAAAATACCTGACAGGAATGTGCTTATATTTTAAATTTCTCATCAGAATATGTTTAATTTTCCTTATCCCTCTTCTGTCCCTAACATGAAGATTGAATTATTAACTACAAGAAAAGCAAGTCCAGTTTCTTAAGGTTCAGGAGAGGAATGGGGAAGTATATGAATATCCACAAAAGAAACTGGTCAGTCAAATATTACTGGTTTTGTTATGAATCTGTGTGTGGGCAAGTGTCATGGTAAAACCAAACCCACCAAGCTTTTGAGTGGATTGAAGCCCCTCCATAGAATTTTGTTGTCACTGAGTTCTCTGAATCACCTTCTAAGGCCTAAACAACTTATATATAGTTCAGAAAAGCAAAAAACTCAGTGATTCAGAATACTTCTCTGTGTATTCTGTTGTTTTTAGATAAGAGTTAACAGCAGAGAAAAGTTCAGGTTTGAGCCTATTTCAGAAGAAAGCAACTGTCGTAATTCAGAAACCGTCTTTGAGTTTGCTGCATGTGCTGTTCAAATCTTCCGGAAACCAGAGACATCTACAGAAACTTTCATAAGCATAAAACAATATGGAGAGGATATTTGTTTCAGAATACAGCCCTTCAAAACTGAACTGTACACCGTGAGTGTGAAACGAGGAAGTAAGTACAAACACTTTCAGTTTAGATTACAGATAGACTGGTATTGCCAATTACTGAATGTACTGTCTTTTCTGTAAGAAGATTGGGACTTTTCTGTTGATATTTTGTATAACCAACATTTCAGATTAAATTAGTCTAAAGTCCATTTCTATTTTTTTTTCTCCCCTTTTTTCAGTGCTAGATGGAAAGCTCTTGTTTTTGTTTGTAGCTGGAATTTTTCTGTTCCATTTTGCAAACAGCCTGAGCAGGTGAGTACTAGCTGCTGGCTTTTGACCTTCTTTCCCAAAGTCTGAGCATCTTTGGTCTGTTTCTTAAGCTAAAGAGGCGGTTCTTTGGGAAAGTGAGATAAGGAAGCTGAACATATATTAAAAATGGCTTCACTTGTATTTGGAGAAATTGGGACATATTTTGGAATGCTGCACTCGATTAATCACTTTGCTTTGTTAGGGTTCTTGTATCCAAGCTTCCTGCAATGGGCTACACCAAGACAATCCTCAGCGAGCAAGTGTGTGGATTCAAAGAAATTCTCTCCCCCTTTTGCAGATTAGTGAGGTTAGCTGAGTGCTAAATAGTGATGCCTTCCTGCAGCGAGAAATGCTTAGGATGAGGTCATCTGCCTCCACCTTTGTGCTAACCTTTCCCCATCGTTCTTTTGATGCACATTTTGCATAGCATGTAAGGGAGGATACTTCTTGTTATAGCAAAACATGTGTCCCATGACTTCAAAGCAAAATGAGTCACAGATTAATTGTCAGGAGGCACCTCTAAAACAAGAAGAGCAGCAATAGGTTTTATAGCATTAACTCTGAATTAAAAAGTCAGACTTTATAAACGTATAAGCTTAGAAAAAAAACAACTTGTAGGTTTGTGGAGGGGTTTTTTTTACATTTTAAATTAAAAAAATAAAACTTTGCTTGCAGTACAGAACCGTATCGGTACATAGAAGAAAATGAAATTACCAGAAACTAGAAGGTCAGTGAAATCAGCAATAGTGTGAGCTTTAAAAAAACCCAACACAATCTCCTAGCCTGTAACAACTCCAGTGACCTTAATATCTGTTGGGAATTTTTCCTTAACACAGATTTAATATCTAAACTGGGCCTGTTAACCATATAACTACAACTTTTAACTTACAGCTGTGTTAAGTTCTTATTGAGGATCACTGCTGTTTTTACAAATGTTGGCATCTTAACCAATTGCAAATTATACTTCTCACCATATTCTCTCATTCTCTTGCAGGAGTACCAAGTTCTTTTACCTTTCTGGAATGATACTGGGTGTTCTTGCTCAGCTAGTCTTTGTCCTGTTGACTCTTAAAAGGTTTATTCCAAGGGTAAATCTACATTTATAAAACAAAATAAAAATAATAATAATAGTCATCAACATCATAATATAGGAAGTGAAGAGTACAGAGCCAGATTCTGATCTTGCTCTGCTTTTGTGGCCAGGTAATGCCACTGAAATGACTGCAGGATTTCTTGCGTCAAGTAAATATAATTAGGTCAGAATCAAGTTCTAGTTAGCTTGCTCCTGAGTTTACAGGAGACTGTTGATGTACAAGAAGAGTTTATTCTGAAACAAATTATTTTTACTGAACTGGAGCTAAGCTTACTTTTAAATCTATAATAATCAATCTAAATCAAAATGTAGTTTTATTGGCAGCTGGGATGGATTCTCTTCCATTCACCAGAGACAATTCATTGCAAGGCAGATGTGAATTTTTCCTTTACTTTTACAAAGTCTATGCATTCCCACAATACTGCTGAGATATGTTAATTGGAAATACACTGCAGTAGGCTGGTATTGTTCAGTTGTAAGAGTGCAGAGCACTGTACAATGGAAGTCTAACAAATCATAAGCCCTGTAGGTCTACCAAATATCACATCTAGTTTTGCCTTAAGAGTTCCCTTGCACAATGGTCCTGATTATGACTTGACATTTTAAAAAAGTTTTTGGGTTTGTTTTTGTTTTTCCAGCACAGTACCTTCTGGATCTTAATGAGTGGCTGCTTGATGTGCTCACTCTATTTTATTTACTGCTTCAAAGAGAATATGCAGTGGTTGTGGTTGGAACACAGAAACTACTTATTGGGTAAGAAAATAATAAAAAAATGTGCTGCAGATTTTGGTTTAATTTAGTGGTTAGATGAATACCTGCCCATAAAAAACAAAATCAAGTGACTCATTTTTCTCCTAAGGCATGGACATTGGAATATTCCAAAGGTTCCTACATTCACTCAAATGAGTATTTACGCATATTATATCATTAAATAAGGAGTCTGATGTAGTGGGCCAGCAACAGCTTTAAGAGCAGACTTTGTCCATATTATTTGTTCATTGATTTGCCATCACCTGCATTCCCTGTGACAGCAAAAGAGCAGCTATGCTGATTTGTATTTTGTTGGATCTAGGAACTGGATGCATAAATTGCTAACTGGATGTGGCTGCAGGGGCTGACAGATCTACTGATCTGGCACCTGCCTTGACATTCTCGCATGGGGAAGATTCACGTGCAGCTCAGTATTAGCTGAAGGCTGTTCATAGATCACCTTGTGAGCTCATTGCACACTTTTGAAATATAAAACACAACATAATGCAGGTATCTGTAAGAGAACACAAGAAACAGCAGGCTATACTTCACAGCAGTTGCGAACTTTGTGAACTGATCTAAGGAAGTTTATATGGGTAGTTACCATCTTTTTCTCCACATCCTTTTCTGCTTCTACAGGGTATCTTTTGGCTGTTGGAGGTACCAGCTTTGCCACTTGCTATCAGCATGGACCTCTTACCACTGAACTGAGCATCACCTTATTCTCATGGATGCTACAATTAACAGCCTTTGTCTTGATGTACTGTGGTGTCACCATACCTCAAGTTGCGTATGCAGTAATAGCAGCCAGCCTCTGTTCAAAAGGCCTGTGTTACCCCCTTGGTGCTGCTAGTCACATAGGCAGGTTTGTATGTACTTGTGAGTGTCCAAGTTCCTGTATCACCAAGAAATACTGGAGCCTGATAATGAAAAACCCCTTACACTTCAGGAATGACTGATGACTTTCTAGTACTAGTTGTTTTTACCAGATGTAAAGCTGCAAAAGAAAGGGTTTAAAGCCCTGAGACACAAGAATTTAATTATTTTCCATCTGGAAGTTCTATATGTGAGTTTTGCTCCTTGGAGAATAGAGAAATGTGACTGTGCTCTCACGTACAAACATATCACCTTCTACTCTGCAGCATATGGTAATGAAAACATTTCTGTTCGGCTGATTGATTAGACCATAGCAATAGTGTCTTGGTTTCATGTGTAGTGAGGGAATCTGCAGGTAACATGCTGAATCATAGGGGATAAAACAGTGTGCTATCACTGAGGAAACAGATGTTCAACAGTGACAGTCCTTGTAGGTTAGATAGTATAGAGTTCAGACTAAAAACCTGTGTCCACAAAACCAGTGGTTTCCACTGATTTTAGTTTTCCAAGGTTATGAGCCTAGATGTACACATCTGCCTTGAATCTGTTACCGCTGTGGAGACATTCCCCCCTATTCCCAGAACCCCACTGATATTGTGGCACTTGGAATGGGAACTGCTTGCAATATCATAGACTGGTTTGGACTGGAAGGGACCTTAAAGATCATCCAGTTCCACCCCCCTGCCACAGGCAGGGACACCTTCCACTAGCCCAGGTTGCTCACAGCCCCATCCAACCTGGCCTGGAACACTGCCAGGGAGGGGGCAGCCACAGCTGCTCTGGGCAACCTGTGCCAGGGCCTCACCACCCTCACAGGGAAGAATTTCTTCCTTATATCTAAATCTGCCCTCTTTCAGTTTAAAGCTGTTACCCCTTGTCCTATCCCTACCCTCCCTGATGCAGAGTCCCTCCCCACCTTTCCTGTAGCCCCTTTCAGCACTGGAAGGCCGCTGTAAGGTCTCCCCGGAGCCTTCTCTTCTCCAGGCTGAACACCCCAACTCTCTCAGCCTGTCCTCACAGGGGAGGTGCTCCAGCCCCTGAGCATCTTCGTGGCCTCCTCTGGACCCACTCGAGCAGGTCTATGTGCTGGGGGCCCCAGAGCTTGACGCAGCACTGCAGGGGGGATCTCACAAGAGCAGAGTAGAGGGGGAGAATCCCCTCCCTCGCCCTGCTGGCCACACTTCTCTTGGTGCAGCCCAGTACACGGTTGGCTTTCTGGGCTGTGAGAGCACATTGCTGGCTCACAGTCAGTTTTCCACCCACTAATACCCACAAGTCCTCCACAGGGCTGTTCTTAATCCACTCATATACAGACCTTAGTTTACTAAGTATTTTCATTAGCAATATGGGAACAACATGTTTGCTCATCCTTGAATTTGAAGCATGTTTTATCACAAATACAATACTTAAGATTCTAAAAAGTTCTGCCAATTTACATCTGTTTTTCACCTTCAGTGCCAGATTAAGAGTCTTTAGTGCAGACTGTTCCACAGCTGTGGACTTCAACTGAACTGCAGAGAACCAGGAAGAGGCAAAGGCCAGAACTGGCATAACCAAAAGAATAAAACCCCAATAATTTATTTTTTAGTCCTTTACACATTGTTAAGTTTTGAAGAACGTATTGCTTTGCTCTTGTACTCTTTTTAGATACTGAAGTGTCGACTGGGTTGAAGCTTTTTTACTTTAGGTAGAATTTATCATTTGTTGAAAACGGATTTTTGCCTGCAGCTGAGAAGCATGAACGGTTTCAAAAGCAACATATGGGATCAATACTTACTTACCTGATGTAAGCTCGTTCAGCTCACTCTAAAATCAGTAAGATTTGGCTACAAGTTCACAGAAGCCAGGACATACCTGTTTTACCCTGAAACACTGTAGTTTGTTCTCCATATGGACCTCTTTTTGTTTTTCATGAACTGATGCTTCTATAAAGCCAAAAAGCACTGAAATACAGCTCTATAAATCTCTCTTAGGAGAATAAGGAGCTTTTTTTCCTATTTCAAAACACGAAGCAGAAGCACCAAACTGTGAGGCCATGATGCCAGATACATAGTTCAGAGCAGCTGATACATCAAAATAACTAAGAACCTCACATTATTTGTTAAGATCAATACTGATCCCACTGAGCCAGCAAAACCTTTACTATGTAACCTGAACAAGGGCTACAATTCATTCTCGCTTTGCAGGGAAATAAGGAGGAAAGTTGAATGCTGCTGATTGGAGCAGGTGTTTTTATACAGAGCTGAAAGTTTTATGGGCATCCAGCCCTTGCTTATCTTAACTCATCACAACATTTAAATTGAAAGCAGTCGACAGAAGGGAACAGAACATGGCACACTTTCTAATTGATACCTAATTATATTATACATCGCTACGCAGCAGCTAAAAAAACATCAGATTGTAAACATTTTGGCCTCAGACTACTCAGTTTTGTAATTTAAAGCAAGATTTAAGAAAAGCGATCTAGTAAACAACATGAACAACTCATAACAGACTTAGAGCACTGCTTATCTTTGAAGTTACATATGCAGACAGGGTTTTGATTCAGCCCATGTCTCTGCACAGACACATTTTGCATACTGCACATAAAAATGGCTGAGCAAGCAGCCATCTATTTAATTCTATGAGATTTTAGTCCATGCATGCACAATAAAGATGTGATCCAAAGCTCATTAGGTATCATTCTGTGGAATTCTACAACTTTGGTTAATACCTAGGGTAAACAGGCTAGCAAACATGAGACACCTTGTCCTAAAATTTTAATGCAAGAAGGTAGCTTGTCCTCTTAAAAGGATAAAAGTGATTAATCCATGTTAATAGCAGGTAGTAGAGAAAAAAGACAGACAATAATTATGTGCCAGAAGACTAGAAATACTGTTTTCATTTCATTCTAGAAAAATTAAGAATTACTTTAAATCAAAGAAGTTATTGTTTAAATACCTTACTGAAGAGGAGTATCGAGAACAAGGTGAAACAGAAACTATCAGAGCCCTGGAGGAGCTGCGCTCATTCTGCAGGAACCCTGACTTCCCATCATGGTTAGCTGTATCCAAACTCCAGTCCCCACATAGGTAAGAAAATCTGGCTTCTCTAAACCAGGAAGCACATTGTACAGAAGCTGTTACACAGCAGACCCAAATGCTACTTCAGGCACTCTTCCAGGTGCATTTCTCTTGAATGCACTCAGATGGGCGAGTAGCTTTATCTTCTCAAGTAATCCCACTAAAGATCACAGCCATACCACTCAAGGATATTACATGCTGGTGGTATTATGCCCCTGTTTGTTCCTTCCTGACCATAAATTATTCTGAGAGCATGCAGGCTTTCACACCTAATTCCTGGTAACAGCTTTCCTTAGACAAACTTAAAGACAAATATGGGTTGGGAAGGGTCAGATAAGTGCAGCCAGAAAATCCTGCAGAATATATAATTAATCATAATAGCAGTGTATTTCTGTCAAAACCAAAACTTCCAAGATACCAGAAGCAGAGTTTCACATATTAGCAAGCTACCATGTCTTGGCCCTTGTCACAGAACCAAGTGTCACAATTTCAATGGAGCCCCAGTCAACTTGGAATTAAATAAAAAGTTAAAACTAGTTTCAGAACCTTAATCTTCCTTGGATGGGCACTCAGTCCCTCTGCCAGGTTTTACAGATTTATTGTTAAATCATCTTATTTTCTAAGCTGCTTGCGTTCTGTAGCATGATTGAAAGATACAAAAAGTGAAAACTCACTGCAGTATTGTAAAACAAAATACTGTCAAATGCACAAAACAAACAACTGAGACACCTCTATTTTCTATTAGTTAATATAGTTCTTCTAAACTGCTCACTATAAAAATACAAAAAAGGACAACCAACAAAAGTCTGATTTAAAGGCGAGTACCCCTTCAAGCTTCCATTAAGCATGAGAAGATAGTTCAACACAAGACAAACCTGTAAAACGCAGCCAGTCCAACTCTGTTCCCCATTTAGACTAAGAGTGCTTCCAAGAAGAGCGAGGTGACAACATTCATCTCACAGAAATGTTAAGTCTAAAATGTAAATTATTGATCAGTTTACCAGAACTCCAGAATGTAGCTGCATTTCCTTTTTCTTACATTTCTCTGATGCTGTCGACACTTACCCAGGTGTCAGAACTGCCGTCTGTTTCCACACACTTGCCAGAAACCTCCAGCTCCATTCTGTCTTTTCAATGTAGTTGTCCACTGAAAGTAAGATTTGTGGCAAATTGAAATGTGGGGATAGTGCTAAGTTCATGCTGTGTTCTGCCAGACCTCCAGTTCGGCATTCACATGGAGCAGCTGTAGAACTCCCAGCCTGTAGCTCCCAAGTTCCCCAAAATCAGGAATTCTTTGGCAAGACTTTAGCTCAGCTTGCCTGGAGTGTGCGTGCAAGCACTAGAAGCACAGCAATGTAGGAATGCGAAGTGCTCACCATTTTTTCTTTCATTAGCAGTATCAACTTACCTGAATTCTTTCAGCCTTTGTCTCAGACATGCTACAGCTTTAATTTATTTTCAGAAGCTAAAGTAGCATCTATCCAACTGTCCAAATGCTTGTTCTGGATTACCCCACAAGTACTGACAAGATGAGAAAACAAAGTTAGATCTTCTTGCTTAGTCACAAGACCCTGCAGATGGCCTCCAGAAGACCAAAAGTTACTTATATAGAACAGACTGAAGACTGAAAAGATGAGGCAGGAAAACAAATCTTCAGTGTCGTTGCCATCCGTTGCCATTTACTTTGTTGTTCAGGACTCCCTAGCTCATGCCGCAGCTTCCCCTCATCTACACTGCTTGTGGGCATGACCTTACAACATCCCTGCTTAACTGGCAGTGTCCCCTCCATTTACAGTAATTTTTTTTTCCATTTCTCAGCTGATCACTTCTCCCTTTAAAAATCTGGCAGGTTTGCAGGTTTTGTTCTGGGATGTCCCCATGTTTCACCTGCAGAAACAAAGGCGCATGATGAGGAATATGGCATTGGGAGCTTCTTCCTGGAAGAGCAGCTCTTTGAGACAAGGGCAGAATCTGAGCAAGATGATCCAGCCAGCTCCATCCATGAAGGAGATGAGGAGAATGAAGATGAAATGCATGCACAAATTTCATTTCCATATGCTACTGAGTTGCTCTGAGCTTTGGGAAATAACCTAAAATAAGGAGAGGGAAAACAATTTCATCCTAGAAAGGAAGGATAAAGACTGAGAACTCACACTTGGTGATTTCTTGTAGTTGCTGGTGGACAAACAAGGATTTTTGAAAAAACTGTTTCCTTTCTCACTGCTGTTACCTGATGAGAGCAACAGAAGGAAACCATAGGGACAGTTGAAGTGAAGAGGATTCTCATGCTGTTGGTACTTTAACTGGAGAAGTAAATGTTATTTATTTCCAGAGCAAGTACTGGCAGCAGCTTGTCCCACCAGGATGCCTTTTTTCACAAGGATACTACCTCTACAAAACAGAGAATCTGTTTTGGCTTTTTTCATCATCAAGTCCTCTGTGCCTGAGCACTAGAGGGAGGAGAAGCCATTATTAATACTCTATTATTAAGTACCCTATGTGTCAAATGCTATTAGTGTGCTGATAAACTGTTTTTATTGTTTATGAGACTTCTTAGTGCTAAACACCAATAGAGGAACAAGGTTTGTTTGCTTTTCTGGCTAGGCTTGCTGTCCGTAGCTTCATTTGCCTCTCCACATTTAAGATTCCCTTACTCATCAGAACCCTGTCTGACTTTTCACCCTCTGCTTGTATCATTCTGTTCTCAGTCTCTGCTCTAGTGACACTGCACTTTGTTCTTTCCATGTCTTTGTTTCTTCACATACTTTTCTTCCCCCTTCACAGGTCCCTCTGCTGCAGCTTTCTCCAGTCCTCTGCTTCTCCATTTCAGACAGCTGCAGATGATTTAGGAGGATTTCCATCCCCAAATGTATTTTTATTATTGCTTTCAATTTCACCATCACCTTACCTCGGATGGGTACTGCTCTCCATTCCAGGCCTCTCAACGGCCCACAAAACAGCTGCGGCCATTTCAGCTGCTTGGAGAAACTGCTGTCAGCAGAGATGGGGTGGTGCTGCAACCATGTAATTGGGAATACAGATAAACACAGCTCCACTTTCCTCAGAGTACTCAGTAGTGTGCTCATTCAATAAAAAGCAGAAAGTAATTCCTGGCAAGGCAATGAGGGAGGGATACCTGGCTCCCACCTCGCTTTCTTTTGCCCTCTTTGGGACATGGCACAGGAGATGTGTGGGGAGGAAGAGAAAAGAACAGGGAGAGAAATTTAGACAGTCAAATGTCTTCCACTTCACGTATTATGCAGTCCTAGGGCAGGGAATAGCTCATGTCCCCTCAAGGTCATCCACCTTCAGAGGTCATTTTCTTATTTTGTTCTTTAGATTATCCCTATATTCTGTCCTCGCCTTCCTGTGTTCCTTTACTGTCTTCCAAACTGCAGAAAACAAAAGACCATTAATTTTGTCACTGTCCCACCAGGAATTGCCAGAGGTGGGAAGCAGTGAGCTCTCCAGAAGAGCATGTCAGACCAGGATGTATTTGTTTTAAAAGGGACATATTTGTAACGTGCCTAATGATGCAGCACGACTTCAGCAGTGCGTGCACTACTGTAGTTTCTCATTGTCCATCACTGGACAAGGGAGAAAATCTGTTCCCTCTAAACAGTACTAACCACATTCCAAGAGCTCCTCTGTATCAAACAGGGCTCAGAGTTGGTACTTGAAAGCCTTACTTACATGGTTCCTATTGCTTCCAACTTTGCTTCATTTTAAAAGGGACTCTTTGATTTTACAGTAGAGAGCCATTTAACACCCTTTTGTGCTGTACATTTACAAATACATATGCAGAACCTATAGCATGCTTAGCAGAGAGAAGCCCTGTCAAGCAGGTGATCCAAAATACACTCACTGTTCTGTCCACAATGTTCAAAAATAGCGCAAGAGTTCTGCTGAGGAAGGCCACTAGCAGTTAAGGCTCACCTCCAAAAGGCTGCTGCTACCAAACTCCCAGCTAAATTGCCACCCACGCTCTAGCAATCAGGCTTGGCCTGGGGGGTTCTGTTGCTAGCAAGAAGCTGTTGTGAAAATAGAGGAAAGTCTCTATCTTTGATGGTTTGGGAGAAGGATGGAAACTCCCTGCCGAACAATGATCTTAGTAGGCTAAAGATTTCATTTTACCTTTGCTTGTGTCGCCATTGTGAAAATGAAGTACCTGAAATTATTACGGATTAGTTAAAAAAGAAGAGATGTCCTAATGTTAAATGGGGTTTGCATGTTTTAAAGTACATGGGTTTTTTCAGTGTACTTTGTATTTAGCTAAGAACTCCTATCCATGTGAATTGAGGCCAAGGGGAGAATCAGATTTGTCCTAGCTTAAGCCCACTGTTTTTCTGTATATCCTCTTTACTGAGGTACTGATAATTATCCTTCCATAAGTACATAGTATGTATTTATATACAGTGGCTGAGATAATATTTTACTTAACCAATATGTTAAACAGAAAAGCTCCCCAAAAATAGGCAATTACATTTTTTCAGACACTGTCCCTTTTTCTAAATTACTGAGAACAGTACCACAGACACCTACTCCAACAAGGAGAAAAAAACCAAAACAAACATTTTTTGTAGTTGTGAAGTCCATCATCTGCCAGGGATGGGACAATACTATCCAAAATAGAGCAAGAAACTACTAAGTACATTCAAGACAGAAGTGCAATGACATATGTGAACAATGACAACTACTTCAGAGGATAGCTAATACTGACCTTAAAAATCCTCCCAAGCCTGTTCCAGCATTGGAAGCATTTCATAAACAAAACCCACCAAAACCAACTGCTGTCATTCGAGCCCTTTGCCAGCAGTGAGTTTACTTGCACAGTGCTCCTGTGATATATGGAGATTATATAGGCTTACTGTAAGACAATTATCATGTACTGTCCAGTGTTCAGCCAGAAAATCTGGGAACAGAATCTAGATGTTAATCCATTGCCTTAACCAGTATAAAAGCCTTTTCTTCCTTAACAACAGATGAGTTACATTTATCTTCTGTTTCATGGGGTTTTTTTAAAATTTAGAATTTGTATTTATTTTGTATTCATGGTACAGCATACTTGATATACTGTCTCGTACTTTCAAGATTTTTTTAAAGTAAAAATATTTTTCAACTCTGTGGTTTTCCTCCCTTTATGCATTTGCTCACTTAGAACAGTAGGACATAAGACAAGGAGGAGCCAAGCAAACTGGGAGTGTTCATGTTCCAAGGTTTTCTCCCTTGGAGCAGATTTAAGAAATGGTAACGGTACATTAGCTGTGGTTGCTCTGAAACAGTGTCCCCTCTGCCCTGACTGCATTTTCCCGAAAGAGCTTGCTGTTCCCGTTCGCCACTCATGACAGATCCAAACCACTGCAAAGCCAAATTCGAAAGGTGATGAGTGAGGTCTGGCAGCTACACACGTGCAAACAACAAACCAAAACTAAGATCCCTCCCTGTCATCGCTTTTGTGTTCATACAAGTTAAGCAGTTAATATAGTAAAAATGTAATCATTCTACACCTAAGAAAAAAAAAATCCAGACAAATGTATAGGGCAGGTGCAATAGTGCAAATATATTTCATTAATCAGAAATAGAAATGGGAAGTATTTCCATACAAGCTGACATGACCTGCACTTCGCAGCCTCTCTCTCAAACCTGCTAGGTGACAAACATCCATTGTCTTTCACTCATGATGTCCTGCACACTTCTGTATCAGCCTGTTTGTGATGCACGCTGGTGTGCATCCTCTACATTCCCCTCACCCCACGAAAAGGAGTCTGGGCCTATGGTCAGATTTTATCGTGAAACTGATTTGAACACCATGCAAGAGTAGTTCCCAGGCTCTAGGTTCACTATCCTCCAGGCACCATCCTCCAGTGAGCCTAGCAAAAGGGCATTATCACTGAATTATTTTCAATCCAGGTGATTATGTTCATGGTTTTCACCGTAATATGAGCAAATATAAGTTCAGATTGATACTATTAAATATATTATGGATATTTTATATTTCTTACCACAGTTTTTACAGTTTCACAAATATCAAAACCCAGGTGTACATGTCCATTTTGCAACACAGAATGACTATACAATTCCAAAAAGAGCAGGCATTTCAAATACACGATTCTGAAGTGTAAACACAGTGTACAAGCTCTTCACCTCACAATCCAGGTGGTATGCAGCAGCAGCTGAGGTAACACCATACAGCATGAACTCAACATATGGTTGGTTTGCCTCAAGATGATTTTTAGCATCCTTCTGTCCTGTCACCTGTTCAGTCTTTAGTTCTCCCCCAAGTTATACAAACATACAATAAATACATTTTTGATTTTAAAGGACACTTAGACAAGTCATGAGGATTTACGTGAGTACAGTACATTTAAGTTCAAGTGCAAAAAAAGTAACTAGTGGCTAGTCGTCGATGTTTCTTTTTATTGTCTATGGTGTTGGTCCCAGGCACCACCAGAACACGGGTGGTTCTGAAAGCACAGCTAAAGCACAGCTACGGGACACCCCCTCTGTCAAGCTAACCCAATGTCAAGGTGGGTAGGAGTGCGTGCCCTCTCGTCTGCTCAACCACTGCCATCTTTACCCCCCAACCCTGCGCTGCCATCAGCCTTGCCTCTGGGTCGCTGTGCAGTGCCACAGCATGCACCTTCCCTGGGGAAGGCCCGAACCATCACACACCTCTGACTTCAGGGAGGGTTGAGCCACACTCACTCAGTTCTGTAGAAGCCAAGTGTTCAGAGTGCTCAGAATCTCCCAGGAACAAGCTGTTAACATAAGCAAATGGGCCAAAACACTGTCCTGACTAACCCCCCCCCCACCCCTGACTCCTCCCTGAGCCCAAGGATTTCCTTCCAGCAGCAATTTTCGCTATGCACCAGCAACTGAGCCGGCTGCAGTTAATATTGAAAAGCATAATAAAACATAATCTAAAGTCTTCCAGTGTTTTCTCATTGGGCAAAGTAATTTCCTAAACATACCGCAATTTCGTTACGTTTGATTCCTCCTGACAATCTCTCACTCTGCTTGATTTCTGCATCAACAACTTTGCCCCTGTAATCCTAATCATCAAGACTTTCAGGTGATTCCTCCCTACCCCCACCTTCCCCAGGCACTTAAAGCTTACTGTTTTCTCAATAAATAACCACAGTAACTACACTGCATTAAATAAACCATTGTATAGATGATGAAATAAAAAACCTAAAAGCCAGTGTGTCCATTGAAACCCTTGATCAATCTCAGACTGTGCAATCTTGATCAAAGATGCTTGTCTCAGTAAAACATCAAATCTAAAATTACCCAAACGCACACAACCTACGCCCAAATGAAGGGCTGCAAGCGCAGAGGGTAACTTCTTCAGAAGCCTTCCTCCAGCTTTTTTGTTTCACTAAAACACCAGTTCAAAATCTTTGCTTCGCAGAACTAAACCTTTATCTCAAACAAGATAACATTAGCTTCAAAAACATATTCTTTGAATATGTGTGTATTTTACTTAATCCATCACCATAATATGAAGATACGCTTCCTAAAGCTACTCAGTTTCTGAGAACTCTTTACAGAGACAGTTCATGCTGTTCCTATATTTATTGGATCTGATATTTCCTAATAGACTATGCAGGGCAACTTGGTCTCTCTCCTAAAATGTCTATTCGTTTTGTCTTGGGAACAAATTCAAAGAAGCAAGTTATCCAATCAAGTCAGACACTCTGTGCCTCAACAAGCGAGGAGAGAACTCCCTTGTTCTACAGACTGCAAAGCAATCTCACAGCACTTGACTCAGCTTTAGCAAAGCAGCCAAGAATTCTTCCTACCGTTAGATCCGGCCACATCACTTCCCTCGAGAACTCCGAACTTTTGGCTTCCCTGCTCGTGTTGCTCTGTGTAGTCATATGAATATTCTTTATATAGTTAAAAGCTTGCACTGCATCACATTATGATCGTTAAGATGAAGGAAGTCCTACTTTTGAGCTCCTACTCCAGCATTTCCCAGGTGAGAAGCAGAATTCCATGCACTGGATTTGATAAGATGAGCGCGTCTCAGGGCCCTGCAGCAGCAGGCTGAGCATCATGATCTGACACAACGCAGTCGCCATCTACTTGGGAATCTGATGTTGCTGTAGGCGTTGGTGCTGAACAATTTCTGGACTGCCCAGAATCTGTCGGATTTTGGGGTTGTCTTGCTGAGCTGGCTGATGAAGCACTGCAATTCTCACTGATTTTCTAAAGAGAGGGGAAAGGATTACATGCAGAAAGTAAGTATAAACACTCACAACACTGTCCCCAGTGGTATACCCCCAGATGCATTCAGGCACTTCTGGAAATTCACAAAGCACTTACTTCAAATGCCCGCAACATAACAAATTAAACTTAAAGCAGCAAAGCAAAAGTAGTACATTTAAATCCAGATGACACTAATAGCAAGCAGACAGTAACTTACCTTCCATCTCTTTTCCTAACTGCACTTTCCCAAGAAGCATGCAAAAAACAAACTTGTTGTGTTTCAAGGGAAAAAAAACACAGTTAACTGGACTTCAAAGTGTTATTTTGACCAAACAATTCTGTAACATTTTTTCACGCTCCTTAAATATAGCTTTCCTCAGTAGTTCCCTCCCTCCCCAAAATATTTCTCAGACTTTTGAATGGCAGAACATCCTGATGTACGATTCCATCCAGTCTACTCAATCAGGTCTTACTAAGGAATGTTAAGGGCACGTTCCCCAGGGTGGAAACAGCAAGCCTTCACACCAGTACATTTCACATTAGAAGATGATAGACCATCTATGATTACTTGTTTTGCACTGAAGAACAGAGAATATGGCAAGCATGTCTCTTTGCTTGAAGGAGTATAAGCAAGCACTAGCAAAATCAAGCCAAAATCTTAATGAAATAAGAAGGAATAATTTTCGCCACTAAAACCATTTTCTGTGCACTGAGCCTCCTGCCAAATGATCTATTTTCATTTTAAAGAGGCTATTTAACAAATGTAAGAGAAGAGCCGGGTAGCCTTTTTCTCATTTCAGTATTTAATATCCCCAGCCTAAAGTAAATGACTGAGCATAAAACCTGTAATGTTTTGCAGAAGGTTTGTCTTTTTGGGGCACTGAAACAGGGAGAAGAGATTTTGGAGAACACAGATAATGAAAAATATAATGTAATGGGGTGCACTCAGCAAGAACTAGTTTTGTATCAGCACTGTACTTTTACGGGAAGGAAAGAATAATGAATAGATGATGTGCCACAGAGAAGCCAACAGGCACGAAAGCCTTTCTGGCCTCTTCACCATTCTCAGAGATGCAGCTGGGTGGTGTCCAGCAATGTTGGACAAGTCCCCCTCAGACACCACCCAAATGCGAAACATTCTCTTCTTGCCACGTTCACTGCGTAAGTTCTGTGTGACTGCTTTTCTCCAATTTCTCTTTTTAGAAGGGGGATAGCTTATACTAACCAAGACCCCGAGGGTGTTTACCAGTGGGAAACAGCACTTTCTCTGGACAAAAGTCTTTGATGTCAGAGACCCAATGATATCTTCAGTGTCACTATAAAAAGTATATTCTTTGACTCAGGGAAGTGTGAAAACAAACAAAAAGCCCAACCAGCCTAAAGGAGACATGCCTGTAAATATATTTTCAAGAATAAAGACAAGTAAGAAAGGCAGGAGATCGCTGACCAGGTGAAATTCCTACACACTCTGCTCTGCTGATTCACACTCATACCCCAAATTACCCATTTCTAAAGACAGCAGTCGTGGAAAAAGCATTTCTGTGTTTACGCCTACCGGGTGCATAAGAAGGAACCTCGCCCACTCCTTCCAGACAGGTAAACACAGTGGTTTTAACCTTAACCATGCTGTTCTAAAACTTGCATTGACAGCATTTCCCTACTTTGCTTAAGCAGTATGCTTCAGCTCCATTCTGAAAGGCATATCCAAAGCATTAGATGATAGTTCAAGATCCAAGTCCATCTAATCACTGATGAAACTAAAAGCATGAAAAGGTATTTTGGGGGGAGACTGGACAGAAGGGAAATGGTGTAAAGTAAGCATCAGCAATCAGATATTTTAAGTCATGGAACGCCTCTTATCTGGTTTAACTTTATATAGAAAAAAGATTAACTTTGAAGAGAAGGCTCTGTATCCCATCAGTAGTTGTCTGGAACACCTACTTCTGCAACAATGTAGACATTTAACAGCATCACCCAAGGAAGCAAAACTAAATAAAAATCATTCCACACTCTGTTAAACAGCTGTGCATCTTCACGTTCAATTACCACCTTGTAAATTTTGCAAAATGCATAACTCACAAATTCCAAATAATATGAAAACAGATGTAAACTTAAAGGGAATTCAAGTGTATCCAAGCCTGTACAACAGAGCCTTTCTACATCTCTCCCTCTCCTCCCATCTTCAGGAAGATAATACTTGAAAAAATAATTATTCCTGCTGTACTATATATAGAAAAAAACTCTATTTCATGCAGCATTTCAACTACTGTTTCACAACTCGGAATTTATTACAAGCTGACAGAGAATACCTGCCAGGTACTAACAGATTTACACAGCTATAAAGGTTTTCAAGCGTTCAACAAATATATAACAACTTCCTGTACATTAGAAGATTACCTGCAAAGGCTGATTCTCAGGAGTTGGACTGGTTTTGGATAGTTTAACCATCTCTTTTATCTGGTAGACAGCATAAGCTAAGGTAACCCAAGGAGAAGAGCTGATGCTCCAGGCAGGCTTGTTCACATCCTCTTGCTCTTCTTGGTGTTTAGTTTTCTTTAGAGGGAGCCTGGGCTCAGTCCGAGGCATGATATCTTCCGATTGCTGTTGTACAAGGTCAATAGTTGCTATGGGAACAGGACTGGAAGGCACTGGGATCCTTTCTGCCAGCATTGTCTTTTCTGAAGTTTAAAACAAAATAGTCACTGGCAACAGCCAACAAGTTTAAATGGGAAGCAGACAACAAATGTGAAGTGTTTCTCGCTTTCATAACACGGTTATCACTGTAACGAAAGCAGAAGACTGGCACAAACAGCCAGAAGTGAGACGCCACAATCTAGTTAAGGAAACACGGTGTGGATGTTGTCCTACAAGCAAGACTGTTCTGCAACTGCAGCGAGGTGTATTAAATGGCTGCATAAACAGGAGCAGCTAAAGGCTATGAGGGGTGGTCCACTTGTTCCCAGCTAGCTATTAGAAATATGTACTTTCATGTTACATGGAAATTTAAAAGAAGTCCTTTTCATGTTATGTGCAAATTTTAAGTCTTTTAGACCTGTAGCAAACTTGTTTCTCTGCATAAAGCCTGCATCTTACAACTCACTTGTACTCATAGCTGAACACTGTCTTCAAGTCCCATAGCTGACATCATCAGAACAGCTGTTTCTGATTTTAAAATTTCTAAACCTACTGATTTGACTTAAAGAAGTTGTTTTACATCTTCACCACTTTTTTTAAAGAAATAAACCACCTCTCCGTAGTTACCATGGTGTTATGCAGTTAGTGAGAAAATAACAAGGTTAGAGTGACACACTGGAGAAGACAAAATATCTGTCACAGAGTTTCAGGCAAAGGATGAAATCCTCCCGACAGACCTGTACCTCTAAGGTCTTCCAATAATCTGAAATAGTTTTCACAACTGTCTTGAAATGTCACCCATAAAATGACTTACATGACCCCACACAATGTGTCTTACAATCTTGAAGAGACAGGGTATTTATATATGAAAAGTAATTGAAAAGATTGTTAGAAACTGTTGGTTATTTTAAGTAATAGCTGTATGTTCTCTGCAAGTCTGTAAATAACACATTCTTTAAATTTTGAGAAAGTTTTTTTTTGAGTAGAAATATTTTACTGATTCAAAAGATCTTTTTTCAAAATTATAAAATCATATTTTGTTTACAGTCTCTTTAGATAGTACTGGATATTTTAAGCAATGGCTGGATGTTCTCTAGTACTGAAGAAATGAAGAGACTAATCCTGCATGCACTTGACCACATGCTTAGTTTTACTCATCCAACTGGTCTTGTTGAAAGCAACCTAATTACTGCCACCCAAAATTAAGATACACACTCTTAAGATGGGCAGTGTGTAATAAATGAAAACCAAAGACTGAAACAAACTAAATAGAATAAGGCAACTAAGAACAAACTATTCTTTTGTAGGTTCACATGTAATTAACTGAAAGTTGATGGGAAACTGCA